GAGACCGCTTGTGTTAGGATCTCTCTAGACACCTCCCTCACAGGCGTGGCCAAAGAGTTGAAAGAGAGGATGCCCGCCTGGGCCAAGATGAAAAAGGAGAATAAAGGGCAGCTTATATTGCTAGATACAGAGATTTTTAGAAGTAGAGTAGGGGCCCTAGTAGACTCAGGGGCCACCCGCAGCTATATTAGTAGGAAGGCGCTGCAGAAGTTGAAGTTGGGACTTAAAGTCCAAAAGCTAGCAGACCCTATAGTTAGTATCCTCGCAGACAATCGTACCATGGCTGTAGAGGATTACGTTGAGGGAGTCCAGGCGTATTTTCGCCTAGAGAAGGATGGAAAAGTGGAAAAGGTCCTCCACTCCCTGACTCTCCTCGTAGAASACAGCCTCCCATTCGACATTGTTCTGGGAATGGATTGGGGTGAAGCAGCCGGGGCCACGCTCCATTTGAAGGAGCACGAGTGTAGGCTCCCTAGTTCATCAGGCGAGGCCAAGACTACCCGCCTGTTTCATGCGTCAGCGGTAGAGAATTCCTTGGCGCACTGCTGCCYTAGTGCCCCCGCGTTCGCCAGATTGGTGAAAAAGGAGAAACTAGAGGAACAGGTTTTTGTTGCCTTTGTCAGGCCAGTGACTGAGCCTAAGAAAGAGAAGCCCGTAGACCCTGCTATTGCCAAATTGYTGGAAGAGTTTAAGGATTTAACTAAGCCGCCGACAGGCACGGTGCCGCGGCCCATTCAGCACCGTATTGAGATAGAGCCTGGGAGTAAGACTCCTAAGGGTGTTGTATATAGGATGTCCCCGCGGGAGTTGAAGAATTACGGAAGCAGTTGGACGAGCTTCTCGAAAAGGGTTGGATTAGGCCCAGTTCGTCTCCTTTTGGAGCCCCTGTTCTCTTTGTCCCTAAGAAAGAGGGAGAGTTGAGGATGTGTATAGACTATAGGGGTCTGAATGCTATTACAGTAAAAAATGTTAAGCCACTGCCTAGGATAGACGATCTCTTAGATCGAGTGCAGGGGGCAAAGTATTTTTCTAAGATAGATTTGAAGTCCGGATATCATCAAATAGAGGTGCACCCTGATGATCAGTATAAGGCAGCCTTCCGGACTAGATATGGGCACTACGAGTTCATAGTGATGCCCTTTGGACTAACCAATGCGCCAGCTACGTTCCAGCGCTGTATGAACGATTTGTTCAGGCCGTGGTTAGATAGATCTGTTATAGTGTACCTAGATGACATTCTAGTATTTAGTAAGACCCTCGACGAGCATCAGGGCCATCTCAGGCAGGTCTTGGAGAAGCTGAGAGTAGCTAACTTCAAGATCAATGCAAAGAAGTGCAATTGGGCGAAGACCCAAGTTTTGTATTTAGGCCACGTCTTAGACGGAGACGACATTAAGCCTGAAGACAGTAAAATTGCACCGATTAGAGATTGGCCAACGCCGCGTACGTTGACAGAGTTGCGCTCGTTCCTGGACTTAGCAAATTACTACAGGAAGTTCGTGAGGAACTTTTCCACCATCGTTGCGCCCCTTCGCAGATTGCTAAGAAAAGAGACAATCTGGAAGTGGGACAAGGAATGCACGTCTGCCATGAAGAAGCTAAAGCAGGCGTTGATAGAGTACCCGGTCCTTAAGGTCGCCGATCCGTGCTTGCCTTTTGTCATTACTACGGATGCTAGCCAGTACGACATAGGCGCAGTGTTACAGCAAGACGATGGCAATGGGTATAGACCCATAGAGTTCATGTCCGATAGAATGCCTTCAGAGAAGGTCGCGACATCTACCTATGAGAGGGACCTCTACGCTCTCAGGCAAGCGTTAGACCACTGGAAGCACTACTTGCTTGGGAGGCACTTCAAAGTCTATTCTGACCATGAAACGTTACGATGGTTAAAGACGCAGGCCAAGATGACTTCTAAGCTTACTACATAGGCCGCAGAAATAGATCAATACGACTTTGAGCTCAAGCCTGTCAAAGGGAAGTACAACATAGTCGCGGATGCTCTGAGTAGAAGAGCTGATTATTTTGGAGCAATAATACATTACCTCGATATAGGAAAGGATCTGCGGCAGCAGGTTAGAGAAGCCTACACGCAGGACCCTATCTATGGTGAGCTCCTTAAGAAAGTCAAGGAGGCCCCAGAGACCGAGTCGAACTACCGCACTACTGAAGGGTTGCTTTTTGAGAAGACTAATGTTTTTGACCGATTGTGCATCCCCAATAGCGAAGAAATCCGCAGTCTGATTCTGGGAGAATGCCATGATACGGAAGGTCATTTTGGTTGGCAAAAGACCTTAGCCAATCTGATGCGCGCGTATACCTGGCCAGGGATGAAGAATGACTGYGTAGAGTATGTTCGCAGTTGTAAGGTCTGCCAACGTAACAAGTCTTCTACGCATGCCCCGTTAGGTCTTCTCAGACCCTTGCCCATTCCGGATCAGCCGGGAGACTCAGTGTCAATAGATTTCATGGACACTCAAGTCAAAAGCAGGTATGGCAAGAGCCAAGTCATGGTCGTAGTTGACCGCTTTAGCAAGTACGCAGTTTTTATTCCTTTGCCTTCTGAGGCGCGTACTGATTTAGCCATACAGAGGTTCTTTGACTGTCATCAGTTTCCATCCCGTAGGTCCATGATCCCACCGGATATGGATGGAAGTTACGACATTGATGGAATAGTGGCTAAAGATGTATTCAGGACTGGAGGTAGGGGTCGTCCACAGAAACAGTACAAGGTTCACTTTAGTTATCAAGAACCAGAAGACGACCGCTGGTTTACTAGATCTGAACTTCTAGAGACAGCTCCCGACATAGTTCGGGCCTACGAAAGACAGCAGAAGGGTAAAGGTCCTGCCTTGGACTGAAATTTTCTCGGAGGACCTCGAATTTAGGCCGGCGGGAGTGAAACGGTATTCACCAATTCGTGGTAGCTGAGATAGATCCCAGGGCTCGATCCCTAGTTCCCCAACTTACCTGTGCACAATACCTGCGTCAACTCGAAGATTTGAACCTGCGACCTGTAGAACCGCCAGTGGTAGGTATGTCTGTCGTAGGTCTATAGGTAGCCAGGATTCGATCCATAGACCTGTAGACTAGAAGGCTAGCTGCAGTCCTTCTAGAAGGTTGGCAAGTGGTCAAGTGGTGCAGGCAAGTGGGCAAGTGGTGCAGGCAAGTGGRSAAGTGGTGTGACTAAAGCAAGCCCATGTTGGAGACGAGGACAAGTGGCAAGGTCAGATAGTAGGACCCCGGTGCAATTGCACTGCGTCGTAGGGTCGTCGTCATACAGTCAAGGGAGAGTCTAGAAA